AATTTACTAATCAGATCACTGACAATTTCATCTAAACAATTCATATAAATTATGGAGAGGCAACATCCTAGTGGTATTATCACTGGGCTGATAGTTCAGAGACCCGGGTAATGTTCTGGGAACCTGGGTTCAAATCCCGCCATGACAGATAATGGAATTTGAATTCAATAACTATCTGGTATTAAGAGTCTAATGATGACCATGAACCCATTGTTGATTGTCAGGAAAAACCCATCTGGTTCATTAATGCCCTTTAGGGAAGGAAACTGCCATCCTTACCTGGTCTGACCTCCATGTGACTCCAGACACACAGCAATGTGGTTGAGTCTTCAACTGCCCTCTGGGCAATTAGGGATGGGCAATAAATGTTGGCCATTGACACCCTCACCCTGTGAATGAATTTTAAAACAGCAAACAACAGAGGTCCTAGCACTGATCCCTATGGAGCACCACAAGTTGCAGAACTAGTCAGAAAAACATCCTTCATGACTACATTCTGTCTTCGATGAGCAAGCCAATTTTGCATCCAATGTATCAATGCACCGCGGATTCCATGTGACTTAATCTTCTGGACCAGCCTACCAAGAGGGACCTTATCAAATGCTTCAGTAAAATCTGTGCAGACAACATCCACTGTCCTATCCTCATCAATCATCCTCATCACTTTCTCAAAAAACTCAATCAAATCTGAGACAAGACCTCCCCACAAAGCCATGCTGACTATCCCTAATAAGTCCGTTCTTTTCCAAATGCAAGTAAGGCCTGTCCCTAAAAATCTTCTCCAATAATTTCCCTACCACTGCCATACGGTTCACTGGTCTGTAACTTCCTGGATTATCCCTCTTGCCCTTCGTAAACAAAGGAACACCATTGGTTATTCTCCAATCTTCAGCAACCTCACCTGTGGCTACAGAGGATAAAAAAATCTTTGTCAAGGGCCAGCAATCTGCTCCCTTCCCTCCTTCAGTATCCTGGGATCGATCCTATCAGACCCTGGGTACTTGTCTACTTTAATGTTTATAAGATGCTAAAGGGGATTGACAAAGTAAACAGAGAGCAGATGCTTCCTCTTTAGGGGAAATACAGAAAAAGCAATCAAAGTTTTAGGATAAGGTGTAGCAGATTTAAAACAAAATATGACACCAAATCATGTAAGGAGATATTAACTTATGGACCCAAAAGCCTGATCAAGAATTAATAAAAAAGGAAAATGCTACAGATGCTGGAAATCTGAAATAAAAGCCAAAAATACTGGAAATACTCAGCAAGTCAGGCATCATTGGGAGAGAGAGAGAGAAAATGTCAACATTCCAGGTTGATGACCTTTTATCAGAACAGCTTCATCAAGGAGGCAAGTTTTAGGGAATCTTTTAAAAGCAAAACGTGAGGCCAGAGGCAGCGAGATATAGGGAAGGTACTGTAGAACATATCACCTTGGTCATGAAGGTGTGGCTGTGAAACGATTTTTTTATGTATTTGTGGGATGTGGGTGTCACTGGCTGGGTCCAGCATTTATTACACATCCCTGGTTGCCCCTTGAGAAGGTGGGGGTGAACTACCTTCTTGAGCCACTGCAGTTCCTGTGCTATGGGTCGTCCCACAATGCCCTTAGGGAGGGAATTCCAGGATTTTGACCCAGCGACAGTGAATGGTACAGCAAATAAATTTAGGATGCTCAAAAGATCAGAATTAGAGGAAGAAACAAGGGTTGGGGTTGGAGAGAATTACAGGAATGGAGATGGGCAAGGCCATAGAGGAAGTTGAAAGCATGATGAGAATTTTTAAAACCAAGACGTTTCTTAACTGGGATCCGATTAACTCAGTGAGCATGGAGGAATTGAGAGAGATAGGTGATGGGAAGGAGGGCTGCTTGTCATAGGAGTAGGAATAGCTCGTTCAGCCCCAAGAGTCTGCTCCACCATTCTAGATCATGAGGGATCACCTACCTCAATGCCATATTCCTGCTCTATCTCCATACTCCTTGATGTCAACAGTAACTTAATTTATCAATCTCTCGCTTTAATTTATTTAATGATTAAGCTTCCACAGCCCATTGGGATTGAGAATTCCAAAGATTCACCACTCTCCACTTGAAGAAATTCCCTCTCATCTCAGTCCTAAAAGATTGGTGTGATGAAAGCTATGTCAATTTTATATATATAATTTTGTTTAGAGTTGTTATTTTAAACTAATGGTTTGATCTATTTGTGTGAAGAGGTTTAATAATTAACTGGTTCAGTCTTTGCTGAACCATGACTTTAAACCATCACAATACAGATGACAAGGTATCTTAGACAGTTAACATAATTGTTCATATTGTGGAATTTACAGCAGGAAAGAGAACAAAAAAGTTGTTATTAATTTAGCAGAAACCAGGATGAGCAAATTATTTTTAATATAGTTAAATGCTTTGAATTCAGTTTGAAAGAGATCCGATTTAAATTCAATGCAAGATTGATTTCTCCCAAAAGACATAGGGGTTTGTGTAGAGCAGTTAAGTAAGTTACTCCAATGTAAGGGTTTCAGTTTGTGGAAACTGTCAGACCAGAAGTGCTGAATTAGATATTTGCAATTGATTATTGAAAGCTGGGAAAGTCTAAAATCTCAGTTGTCTGTGAGTCAAAGAAAAAGTCTTCAAAGATCATGGCAAGACTCGAACTGAACAGAAGCAGTTACATCAATCTGCAGATCTGATTGGGGAAGGAGTATTTTTTGGATTTTGATTAATTGTAAAATGATGGTGTTGGGGAGTAAATGGGATTTTGTTCTGCTGGGTGTTTAAAATCTTTTAACTGCATATATGTAGATGGCTTGGTTCATCTGATTTTCTTTTTCTTTCTTTTGCATAGTTGTGATAACCTCTACAAGGTTCATGGGGAATCACTAATGAATCTCTCTGCGGAGCTCATTGAGTATGAGTTCCCTTGTACAGGTGATGGCCTGCCAAACTGTACCTTATCACTTGAGCCCTTTATAAAGCAGATTCTTAGGGCTCTATAATGCAAAGGTAGTGTCCCTACCCCTGGACTGGGAGGCCTATGTTCATGTCCTACCTCCTCCAGAAGTGTGTAATAACATCTCTGATCAGGTTGATTAGAAAAATAGGTTAATTAAAAAAAGAAACTCAGTGGCGGGGACCTCTTGCGGCATAGAGGTAGTGTCACTACTCTTGGACCAGGAGGCCTGTGTTCAAGTCCCACCTGCTCCAGAGTTATGTAATAACATCTCTGGACAGGTTGATTAGGGGAAAAAATAGGTTAAATACAAAAACTTGGTCTTCTTTGAGAATTCAGCAACTTTTATCCTTTGTTTTTCGGGCCATTGGACAATTAGGGTGCTTTTCTTTTGCCCCTTGTAAAAGATCATCTCTGCAGTGTTCTGTGTCTGTTTAGGGATTAAAAGGAGATTTAGTTCTACATAAAAGCAAAATACTGTGCATGCTGGAAATCTAAGATAAAACCAGACAATGCTGGAGAAACTCAGCAGGTCTGGCAGCATCTGTAAAGAAAAAATTATCATTTCAGGTCCACTTTATCTATTCTTCAGAACTGATTTTCTCCAGCATTGTCTGTTTTTATATAGCTCTTAACCTGAATACAGCTTAGATCTTAACAAAATTTTCCATTTTCTTTAAGAAATAAGTTTTATGATGATAAATGAACTTTTTTCCAGTTCACTAAACAGAACTGGTCAACATCTATTTTATTCTGGACAGTACAGAGGGGAAATAATTGGTCATTTTGATGATTGAACTGAGACATTTATATTAAAGGTGTGAATTCTGCAGTAATGGGGCCTGATTACAAACACATTCCACCCATCACAGTCCTAATAGTTTTCCTCCCTGCGTCTTCATGTTCTATAAATATAAAGCTTTTGATCTTTAGTGATTAAGCTCATTAATTCTTAATAATGCTTAAGACTCAGCAAGGTGAGAAAGCAACTGAGAGTAAAGTCTTGTGTTTCTCATATCTGCTGCAATTAACTCCTTCAACATTTCACTCTGGGGTAGTCAGAGATCTGAACAGCTTGGGGTGAGCCCGGGTGTGTTGCAGCAGGTATGTCCTTGCCAAGACTTATTCGCAGCACCTCCCAAGCCTGTGATATCTACCATCCAGAAGAATGAGTTCAGAACGAATATGGGAATGCTATTACCTACAAGTTACACACTACTTCAATTTTGATACATCATATTTTCTTCACAATTGCTGGGTCACATTCTTGGACCATCTAGTTTATGGTACTGGTGAGATGATCACATAGACTACTGCAATTCAGAGAAGCAGTTGACCACTACCCTCTCAAAGGTAACACTGAGTTGACAATTAATTTCTTTCCCGTTGACAGCCAAACCCCATGAATGATTAAAAATAAAGTAGCAGATGGATCCACTCCAATACATCAACATCCATGTCGGGCCGCCCCGCCCCCAGGCCAGACACCGCCCCTGGGGCGGGGCTCCAACCACAGACACCGCCCCCTCCTCATCAGGCCAGACACCGCCCCTGGGGCGGGGCTCCACCCGCTGACACCGCCCCCTTCCCATCAGGCCAGACACCGCCCCTGGGGCGGGGCTCCAACCACAGACACCGCCCCCTCCTCATCAGGCCAGACACCGCCCCTGGGGCGGGGCTCCGTCCGCTGACACCGCCCCTGGGGCGGGGCTCCATCCGCTGACACCGCCCCTGGGGCGGGGCTCCATCCGCTGACACCGCCCATGGGGCGGGGCTCCACGCGCACAGACCCTGTCCAGCCGCGAGGACTGGCCCCGCCCCTGGGGAGCTCCGTCCATAGACCCGCCCCGTCCTTCCCCTGGAACATCCGGCCCGGCCCACCGATCAGACCCCGCCCCATTCCAGGTACTGACCAGTTTCTAGTTCCCCAATCTGCGCTCCCTCAGATTTGATTCCCCTCGGACTGTTTCTCTGGTTGCTCGTTGCACCCGGACTCTGAGCGGCGGCTCCATTTCCGGGCGGCAGGAGGCTGAGGTAAAGTGAAGGATGAGGAGAGAGGGAGAGGTCAAGTTGGGGCGGCTCGGTCCGAGCCAGGCTAGCTCGGTCCGGCCCCCACCGCAGATCTCCCCCACAATTACAAGCCCACTCCACAATCCAACTGAATGTCACGGACACATTTAAATTTCAGGGCGCCCCGTAGAGTAGGGAATCACACCGCCGGTTAATTTATCCATGACAACATCTTCCTATCCATATCTGGGAAGGCGATAAATTTTCAAAATCATGTGGGGTTGGATTGAGAGGAAAGGGAGAGGCTGTTTCCGATGGTAAAGAAATAAGAACGAGACGGTATAGATTTGAAGTGATGTCAAATGAAATGCGAAAGGAAAGCTCAGGAGTGATTTAAACTCAGATGTCTGTGTGAACTGGCAGGTTCAAGTTGATTTTCTTTAAATCTGACTGTTGCCTTTTCTCTAGATCAGCAGAAAGAGGATATCAACCAAGATAACGGAGGATCATGAGTTGGAGGATGCTGTCTAGTTTCCTGAGGTGTACTGCTGGGCCAGTTATTTACTGTGCCAGTTGCTGGAGTCAACGTGTGTGTGCTGTTTGGATTGTAAAGACCCATAAAGTCTTAAAAAAGAAGCTGAGCACTACAACATCTTTATTAATAAAAACAGAACAGGTTTTCACCAGAGCTGGAAATTTTGCAGAAAGACTTGCAATTGTAGATGATAATGGTCATTACACGTACAGAGACCTGTATCTATACAGTCTGGCCCTTGCAAGAAAGATTCATTCTGCACTAGGATGTCTTGATGGTGACATCAAGGAGCAAAGAATTTCAATCCTGTGCCCTAATGATGTCTCATATGTTATTGCTCAGTGGGCATCTTGGATGAGTGGTGGCGTGGCTGTGCCCCTGTGCAAAAAGCATCCAGCTCCAGAACTTGAGTATGTTGTTCAGGACTCTCAGAGCGCGTTAATTATTGTGGAAAAGAATTATTTAGAGTTAATGACCCCAGTCGCTGACAGACTAGGTGTGAAGTGCCTTCAGTTACCGGATTACAGTCAGTTCCAAGAATCTTCTGATAATGAACACCTGGAAAAATATGTTGCTGCTCCTGTGCCAGATGCTGGTTTTGTTGTCACAGACTGGAAAGATAGGGGAGCCATGATACTGTACACGAGTGGGACAACAGGGCGCCCTAAAGGAGTCCTCACCACCCACGGAATACTATGCCATCAGGTAACCTTCCTTTGCTGTCTACCAACTTGGTTTGTGCTGGTTACCTGGAGTTATATTCACGTGGAATTCACTGCTAATGCCACTGTGGGAGAGGGTGAAAGTGAATAATGGAGGATTGTGACCTGATCTACCATGATTACAGCTGTTACTGAGATCAGGACAGTGTATTCTGAAGCCTCCAAGCATACTGGTGTGCAGAAGGAAGGCACTTTGTTGACCTAATAATTCAGACCCTCACTCTGCAATCAGATGCCACTTCTAAATATTACATTTTTGCTTGAGTTTTCCCAGTGTCAGTGAAAAGGACGTGTGGTACCCCACTAGTCAGTGTCTGCTATTCAGAAAACAAAAATATTCATACTATTTTTTCCTGTCTGCTAACCAATTTTCTATCCATCTCAATACAATATCCCCAATTTTAGTTTTACATTTAATTTAATAACATTTAATTTTACACATTAATCTCTTACGTGGACTTAGTCAAAAGCCTTCTGAAAGTTCAAATAAACTATACTTACTGGTTCCCCGAACAACTCTACTAGTTACATCCTCGAAGACTGCCAGTAGATTTGTCAAACATGGTTTCCCTTTTGTAAGTCCATGCTGACTGTACCTGATTCTACCACTGTTATCTAGCATCTTCCCTATTCCTAACGTCAGATTCCCTGGTCCATAGTTGTGTTTTCTCTCTAACAGTCAGAAACAGGATAATTATAATGGGGAATAAAGAAATATCTGGCCAACTAAATACGTACCTCAGTTCTGTGTTTACAAAGGAGGACCAGAAAACGTAAGAGTGAGGAACTAAAGGAAAATCAATATTAGTATGGAAATGGCATTGGAGAAATTATTGGATTTAAGGGCATTAACAAAAAAGGAGGAGTCTCTCTGTGAGACATTCCTTGTTCCAGTCCTATTCTGGCCCCCACCCACAACTCTTTCTCTGGTACATTGATGACATCATTGGTGCTGCTTCTCTCATGCTGAATTGGAAAAGTTTATCAATTACGCCTCCAGGTTCCACCCTGCTTTCACCTTCTTCTGGTCCATCTCTGACTCCTCCCTTCCCTTCCACGACATCTCTGTTTCCATATCTGGGATAGGCTGGCCACTAATATCCGCTACAAACCCACGGACTCCCACAGTTACCTCGACTATACATCCTCTAACCCTGCTTCCAATAAAGACTATATTCCATTTTCCCAGTTTCTCTGTCTCCCTCACATCAATGATGCTAACTTCAACAAGGTGGGGGCCTCTGAAAAGGCCACCTCCTTTCTCAGTTGAAGATTCCACACCATCATGGTTGACAGGGCCCTCAGCTGTGTCTGACGCATCTCCCAAACTTCATCCCTCAGCACCTCTCTTCCCTCCTACAATTAGCGATAGGCTCCCCCTTGTCCTCACCTACCATCCTACCAGCAGCTACATCCAAAGGATCATTAGCTCTCAGTTCCACCACCTCCAGTGGGATGCCACCATTAGACACATATTTCAGTGTCCTCCCTTGTCAGCCTTCTGCAGGGATACCTGGGGGAGGCAGTAGCCTAGTGGTATTATCACTGAACTGTTAATCCAGAGACCCAGATAATGTTCTGGGGACCCGAGTTTGAATCCTGCCATAGCAGATGGTGGAATTTGAATTCAATGAATATCTGGAATTAAGAATCTAATGCTGACCATGAATCCATTGTCGATTGTCAGAAAAACCCATCTAGTTCACTAACGCCCTGTAGGGAAGAAAACTGCCATTCTTATCTGGTCTGGCTACATGTGACTCCAGACCAGCAGCAATGTGGTTGACTGTTGGGATGGGCAATAAATGCTGCCTATCCAGCGACGCCCTCATCCCGTGAATGAATAAAAAAAAACTCGTCCTCCACTCTCAACACCTCTCCACATCCCCACAGAGCTTTGCAGTTGCAGAAGGTACAATATCTGCCCATTTACTTCCTCCTTCCTCACTATCCAGGGTCCCAGATACACCTTCCAGGTGAAGCAGCACTTCATTCAATCTAGTCCACTGTATTTGCTGCTTACAATGTGCTGTCCTCTACAATGGGGAGATGAAACACTGTATGGGCGACTGCTTTGCAGAACACCCTTGTTCTGTCCACAAAAATGACCTTGAGTTTTCACTTAACGCACCATCATGTTCCTTGGCCAACATCTCTGTCTCGGGCTTGTTGCAGTGTTCCAGCAAAGCTCAGCATCTCATTTTCCGCTTGGAAAGCCTTCTGGACTCAATATTGAGTTCATTAATTTTAGGGCTCGAGCACCTTCTCTCATATCCTTACCCCAGGCCCTGTCATCACATGGGTTGATACCACAAACATCTCATTGTCAGCCACTAATGATCTCCATTAGCGGCTGTTCACTCTCCCAGGATGACCTTTACCCATTCCTTTCTCTGCCCACCTGTTTTTCTTGCTCTCTGGGCTCCATTCCACCTATAATTTACTCCTCCACACTTCTCATTACCCATCTTCAGCATCTATACCAACCTTTCCTAGCTACAGTCCGTTCTGAAGAAGAGTCACTGGACCTGAAATGTTAACTCTTCACAGATTTCTTCGCAGCATTCTCTTCACAGATGCTGCCAGAGCTGTTGAGTTTTTCCAGCAGTTTCTGTTTTTGTTTCTGATTTCCAGCATCTACAGTTGCTTGGGTTTTTTTTAAGCTTACAGCAACTGGTGGGAGGGAATAACGACTTGTCTTCCATGTTTTAGTCTCTCTCAAAGAGAGAGAGATCCATTCTCTGTTGCAGTCTCTGTATTGTTTCCCCACTGATTTGGTTCCTGGTGAACAATCAGAGGTCTTGCCATGCTTGTGATTCCTGCCCTCCATCATTGGTCCTGAATGGTTTGTGCAGTCAGCAGCCTGTCTCCAGGAAGTGCTTGTGCTGTACACACCCACGGTACTGTGATGTTTGAGACATCTTTACCCACTGCTTGAAGAAAGCAACAGTGTAAACGCTACTCACTTGTTTTTAAAAGTGGAGCAAATCCTTCCAAACTGGTTTAAAACAACCAGTTTTCTGCCTTGGTCCACAACCTAAACTTTATAGAATCCCCACAGCGTGGGAACAGGCCATTTGGCCCATAAGTCCACACTAACCCATTGAAGAGCATCCCCCTCAGACCCATCCCCCTACCTGATCATTGGAACCCTGCATTTCCCATGGTTAATGCCCCCAGTCTACGTATCCTTGAACACGATGGGTAATTTAGCATGGCTAATCCACCTAACTTGCACATCTTTGGACTGTGGGAGGAAACTGGAGCACCTAGCAGAAACCCAAATAGACATTGGGAGAATGTGCAAATTCCACACTGTCAGTCACCTGAAGCTGGAACTGAACCTGGGTCCCTAGCACAGTCAGGCAGCAGTGCTAACCACTGAGCCATTGTGCCATCCATAAAACAAGAGAAAAATTAAAAGATGCAGCCTTTGTATTGCACGTACCGGGAAACTGGAAGCTGTGCACAAGGGCTGCATACTAATGTGCATATGGGCCAACATTGTGGAGACGTGTACGTGATCCAATATATATACTCAAATAATAGTGTACATCAACTGGTACTAGACAGACTACACGTGAGCTGGTATTACAGAGCTGGTTAAACTAGCTGGTGTCAAAGAAATGGTGTACATGAGGTGATGCTGTAAAGATTGGAAACAAATTTTTGCACATATTGTATGACTGTATGCATGTGTAGAGGTAGCCCTCACTATGTGCATACTGGATGAGCATATATTATCTCCAATTAAGCAAGCTAAAACATTGTTTTTAGTCTCTGATTCAAACTCTGCTCCGGAACTGACTCAATTTCTCTACCCAGTAGAAGTCTAACATTAAGCCAGTCTTTTTGAAACCTTAGTGTGACATTGTTACTAAAGTGAACACTGAACCCTGTTTGCACCATCCCGAAGACCGCCAGATCTGCCTTTATTACAGTGTTGGCTTTGGCACTGTTTTAGCTTGAATGTTGCAGAAACCCTGATCTATGCCTTTGTTAATGTTAAACTTGACTAATCCAATTTACCCCTGGCTAGTATCTCACATTGTACCCTCTGTAAACTTGAGACTATCCAAAATTCTGCTATCCATGTCTTAACTGCCAGAAAGTCACATTCCTTTATCATTCCTATAAAAGTAAAGTTGTCAGAGTAGAGTCCTAATGGGCCATAGGCTGCTCTCTCAATAGAGAGAAACGGCTCGAGGTGCTTTGACCTGAGGGTCACCACGTTGATTTACATTGGTCCCAATGTAGTGATTTTAAACAATGTTGTGATTTTACAATTCAAATTCTTGTTTTTAAATTCCTCTGTTGTCTCACCCATCCTTGTCATTGTAATGTCCTCTAATCCACAATCCTACAAGATGGGGGAGCCAGTATTGTAATGGTAATATCATTGGGCCAGCAATCCAGAGGCCAGATTAATTCTCTGAGGAACAAAAACAGAAGTTTCTGGAAAAGCTCAGCGGGTCTGGCAGCATCTGTGAAGAGAAATCGGAGTTAAGTTTTGGGTCCGGTGACCCTTCCTTAGAACTGATGGTAGGGAGGAAATTGTCGGTTTATATGCAGAAGGTAGGGTGGGGGGAGGGGGTAATGAGTAAACAATAGCGAGGGATAGAGCCCTACCCCACACACCAGGCCTTGTTATCCCATAGCCTACCATTATACATTACCTATTGTTAGCCACTAACAGTCACCATTAACAGCTACAAAAACAAAGTTGCTGGAAAAGCTCAGCAGGTCTGGCAGCATCTGTGGAGGAGAAAACAAAGTTAACGTTTCGGGTCCGGTGACCCTTCCTCAGAACTGATGGTGGCTGGGAAAACGTCAGTTTATATGTAGAAAATAGGGATGTGGGTGGGGTAGGGAGTAAACGATAGGATAGAGCCCAAAGAGAGAGAAAGACAGTTGGACAGACAAAGGAGTTGCAAACGATTAGGCTGGGAGGGTGAATAGTTGATAATGGGGACTGTTAGTGACTAACAACAGAGGGTGTGTAGTGGCAGGCTATGTGGTAACAAGGCCTGGTGTGTGGGGTGGGGGGCTGGGACATGGGAGAGTTTAGGCCCTAAAATTATTGAACTCAATATTGAGTCCGGAGGGCTGTAGGGTCCCCAAGC